CTAGTCCCTACTCCTTTATTTCCTTAGTAGCTGACACAGGAGTTTGGAACCAGATATACTGATGACATTATTTGCTCTGGGAGCCAGCCTGCCATAATCTGACAAAAGCCACGTGGACCATGTCCCAGTACCACTGAGTGAACCTTTACTGCTTAACGGTGAACTTGACCAGCAGACGCACCCTGGCATATGGACTGAGGCAAAGGCCAGGTCTTCATGCTATGACACGTGACGCTACCTGGCCAGCTAGCCAGGAGTGTGGTTCCTGGGAGCAGCAGGTCCAAGCTTGCTAATCAATCCAGTGTTCCCAGGGAAAGAAAACTCCTGCCGCTGGGTTGGGAGCACTGGATTCTAAGAATAAATTGAGACTCTGCAGACTTGAATTTCCTGGAGAAACAGAATTCATGTTGAAGAGCAGTTACTATTTCTGACAAGGGGCAGCCCATTTACAGGCAGGAAAACATAAAAAAATATCCCTCATCTTTAATAGCTGTAAGGGAACATAAAAGAGAGGGATGAGTAGGATGTTTTGAATTTCTCAGAAAGAATTTCAGACTTACAGGCAAAGCCTTGTGCTCAGTGTTATATAAATAGGTTGCCTGTATACGGATGATGCAGTAAGTAAGGTACAAGAGTTCCTATGCATGTTGGTGAATTTAAGAGAGCACAGGCTTCTGACTTGGGATAAATCAAGTGATGTCAGAGCTGATCAATAGCAGCTCATGGATCTTTCTCGGAGGCTAAGAAAAATATAACCAGTAATTAAAGTCATGTTTTCCATTAATAACAACAAGCAAAAAACCCACCAACAATGCAATTCCACATATCTAGTTTCATGCAAAACTTTCCACATGAGAAGCTTATTGTGGTAAGGGCACCATCCATTTTCATTACAAAAACAGTGGCTGTTTCATATCTAGCTCACCTTCAGGGGACATCCAGGGCTTACGCACTCTGTAAATATTGCTATAAGCCTGGCTTCTCTTGTCTTATTTCTACATCAACCACCTGGAACATTTTACAAACCAGAAGCTGAGCTCAAAGTATGGAACATTTTACCAGAATCAGCACAAGAGCTAGTAAACTTCCAGGTGGCAATCAGCCTAAAGGGGGCTGGAAAAACAGACCAACCGACCAACCAACCAACAGAACTACTGGACTCTATGATACCTCATGGGTAAGTACAGGTTAACTACTAGTCTGTTAAGTTGAACTTCACATATCTGGGCATTTGGGGCACTACGACAAATTGGGCATATCAGAAAGAGCACTGGATGAATCAGTCAAAAAAGGGAGCTTCTAGTCCTGGCTCTGTAACTGGCCAGGCTGAGTGAGGCGTTGAGTGTGAACTTCTGCTCCCCTTCGCTTCCTCGTGTGTGGATGGGAGTAAGGTGGTTGCTGCGTGTTCCTAATCATGCTACTGTGGGTAGAGAATGAGGTACAGGAGGTTAGAGAGCTTTGGGGTGTTTAAAACATTACATAAATGTAAAGGATTTATACAAATGTAAGGGAGGGCTTGAGAGTTCCCTTCCTCCTCTTGTAGAGGAAGGAAGGTAGGAAAAGCCCATGCTTATTTTACCTGTAAGAAAGGAAATCCTATTTTTATAGAATCTACCTATTTTATATTGATAATAAGACAGAACACAAATGTGTAACAAGAACCTGAATGGGTCATCATCCTTTCTAGAAAATCAACACCAGATTTAATCACTAAGTAATGTCACATATTTTTAAATAAACATATTTGAATGGGTGTGGTCTAATCCTGAGTAGTGAGTAGTCAGACTGATTTAAATAGTATTCCCCATGATTCAAAAAAAATTTAACTCCACTTCTGGAATTGTTCCTAGAGCCTCTGGCACACTCTTAGAATATGCCTTAGGGTGACAAAAATTTTATCCTTTGTGGATAATAATGACTTTGTAAACAGCACAAAGTTATTTGGCACAAATGTTGGTAAATGGGCTAAGTAATGCCATTTTTTATTTAAATTGAAAAAAGACTGTGACTATAAGATAGGAAGCTTGTCTTTCTTTTAGTTCTAACAGAAGAGTTATAAATAGCAGATTTCAGGAATTGTCAGTATTGTTGGAAAGGGCTTGTTCTATCCTAAGGTGATCATATTAGAGGAGAAAAGCCATTCAGAAATGTATTTCTACATTTTTTAAGTCCCATTATTTATCTTGCAAGACTGGCACTCGACTTTGGGTTTCTAGAAAAAACAGGCATTGCAACTAAGCAACTGTTTGATCATTTTATCACAGCTTCTTGAGGCTTCTGAATCCTTTGTTTACATTTGAATTAACTGTCTAGCAATATGGATGTTTCCAATGAATTAACAACAGGGTCCTGTGGAAATATACACCCATCAGATTCAATTCTAACCAATAGACCCTGCTCCCTTAAAAAGTTTGGAATTCGTTTCAGTTATGAAAAATGTATCTAAAAATTAATATATCACTAATATTGTTACAGTGTAATTGGAAACAACTGCTAGAGTGTTGCTTCTGGTGCAAACAATTTAAATTGTGTTTTTAAAACAAACACAGTCTTACTCATTTTCACTACCTCATTTTTTTATTGTGATAAAATTCACACATCTAATTCATCATTTGATCATTTTAAAGTGAACAATTCAGTGGTATTTAGTACATTCACAATGTTCTGCAACCATCACCCCTATTTGTTCCTAAACATTTTCATTGCCCCCAAAGGAAACCCTGCACCCATTAAGCAGTCATTTCCCATTCTTCCCTCTCCCTAGCCCCTGGCAACTACTAATATGCTGTTTCTATGGATTTGTCTATTTTGGACACTTCATATAAACGGAACCTCACAATATGTGGCCTTCATGTATAGCTTCTTTGACTTAGCCTAGTGTTTTCAGGGTTCATCCATGTTGTAGCATGTGTCAGTACTTTATTCCCTTTTGTGGCCAAATAATTCCATTGCATGGATATACTATATACATGTGTTTATCCATTTATCCATTGATGGATACATGGGTTGTTCTCACATTTTGGTTATTCTGAAAAGTACTGCCATGAACATAGGTGTACAATTTTTTCTTTGAATCTCTCTTTTCAATTCTAGAATTTCTGGGTCATATGGCAATTATATGTTTAACTTCGAGAAACCACCAAACCTCTAACTCACTTTTACACTTACAATTTCAAGGTGGCTTAATTACCAGACAGTTAGAAGCAGTTGGACTCCTGTAGCCAAATCCCAGGCTGGGCTCAAAGAGGTCTCTTTTTCAGAAACACTGAGCCAAGCTTGTTCCAACACAAGCTAACAGGCAGGGCTTTGAACAGCTTTCTCTGCTGTTCTACCAGTCACAACATGAACTGGCTGGGCAGGAATATCTTCCTGCCTCCTAGGCATCCTTGGTTCTCCATTATGTTGCACACGTTTTCAGAAAAAGAAAAAAAAAGTTACCTATCTAACTTACTGGCTTCTCTAGCCAAGAATCTGGAGTCCATGTAGAAATGGTACTTGGCAGCCAATGATAGGCCCCTGTCCTGGGCAGCAGTTAGTCCTTCCACAGTTAGAGGATAGAGGCTTCCAAATACCACTTGAGACAATAGATGTTCCATTCAGAATATACTTTTTACCAAGCACTTTGCCTGAAAACACAGCCCAGAGATTCTGACCTTATCAACCCATAGATACCAAAGTTGAACCTACCCCTCCATGTACAAGTGTATTGTAGGTTGTCTACCCTGAGATTGGCCAGGACAATGGGAGATGGTCCTACTACAGGCATTGTTTACTGCAGCCAGTTTACTGAGCCATGAGGCTCCACAGCCGTTAACCCAACCCAGATAGTAACTGATTAGCACTGATTTTTTTTTTTTTTTTTTTTTTTTTTTGGAATTTAAACCTGTTCCATGAGCTTCTCAGAGTGCTGACCTCAGAGTGCCTAACACAAAGGTAGTTTCTGAGCTACAGGAGCCCAAATCAAGGAGCATTAGGGCAGCACTGCCAAAAACAGAGGCAGAACAAAATGGCTTTTTCCACTTGAAACTAAACACTAAGAATGAAGAAGTTGGTTTCCGGGGTTTTTACTAGCAGCCTCCGCCAGCCCAGCTGTCAGGTTGCTTGTCTCCTGGCAGCCCTTTCAGGTGTCCTCGCCTGAATCTGTTATTAGGACTAAGAAAGTCCCTTGGCTGGTCATATCCTCTGTAACCTGGCAGGAAACCTAAAGTTTGCCTGCGCCAGTCCTCGGGTCTGTTTGCTTATCTGCTTCCTTGTAGGGAAGAGTCTGCATCACAGTGTCCGGTTTAGGGGGATTTTCACCATGACCTCACCGTGCTGCAGCTAACATCCACTGATTTCTGCGCCGCAGATTGGGAGGGAATCCACATTAAGGAGACACAAACCAACGCCTCCTAGCACATCTCAGTTAACTTCAGTTAGCTCCCGTTTTTTCTCCTCATTGTGTGTGTTGGGGGAAGGGGAGTTGCAGGGGTCTGAAAATGCCAGAAAGAGCTCGGTGGGTAGATTGATGACATTTGGTTATTTTCAGGACTTGGGAGAGCAAGATGTCAAGAAAACCACCTTAAGAAAATGTACCAAAACCTTCATGGCTCGCGCTCACTGTTTGAATAACTTTCTATCTAATGGCTTCGAAATTCGGTGCACGAACGGTGACAGCAGGCGTCGGGGATGAAACCTTGGAGAGCGAGGGGCAGGGGCTGCCGGGGAGTCCAAGGGCACAGTCCGAGTACTGGTTAAGGGTCTCCAGAGTCCCGGGAAACTGGCGCAACCAATTAAAGGGAACAGAAAGGAGTCCCAAGCGCGCGTCCGGCCCCACCGAAGATCACCTGACCACTGCGGCCACGCGCACGCGAGCAGGAGCGAGCCTCGCCAGCACAAGGCGGGAGGCAAGAGAGCGGCCACTGCGTGCGTGCGCGTCCTCGGGAGGCAGCGGGCGCGCGCACGCCCTCGGGGCCACCGCCCCTCCCGGGCCCGCCCTTCTTCCCTCCCTCCTTGGCTTTCCCGGGCCCGCCCTGTCCGGCCCGCCCTGCGAGTCAGTTCGCTCGTTCCCTCCCTCCCCCGGCGCGCTACGGCCGCCGCAGCGCTCCCCGCCCTCAAGCCGCGGTGCAGGAGTCGTCCGCCGCCCGAAGAAGAGGTGGAGGGAGCCAGAGGGGCCCGCCGAGGCGGCGGCGGCGGCGGCAAGATGGCGGACTTCCTGCCGTCGCGGTCCGTGCTGTCCGTGTGTTTCCCCGGCTGCGTGCTGACGAGCAGCGAGGCCGAGCAGCAGCGCAAGTCCAAGGAGATCGACAAATGCCTGTCCCGGGAGAAGACCTACGTGAAACGGCTCGTGAAGATCCTGCTTCTGGGCGCGGGCGAGAGCGGCAAGTCCACCTTCCTGAAGCAGATGCGGATCATCCACGGGCAGGACTTCGACCAGCGCGCGCGCGAGGAGTTCCGCCCCACCATCTACAGCAACGTGATCAAAGGTGCCGGGCGGGGGTCGGAGCTGGGGGACCGAGGGCTGGAGCCCGGGGAGGCGGCGGCCGGCGCGGGGCCGGGCACCGCCCTCGTTCGCTCGGTCCCTGGCAGAGGACCGGGCCCAGCGGGAGGGCGGGAAGGGGGCGCGCCCGGGGCGCCGGTCCTGCTGCTCGGGGTCCCCCAGGGGAGGGGATGTCCCGGGGCTCCCCGCCTTCCTTCTTGCTGCCCCGGTAGGGGGCACGGATGGGCCCCCCCAACCCCGCCCTCTGATAGGGAAGTGGGGCATGCCGGGGTGCGGGGTGACATCCCCTGTCTTCCCTCCAGATGAAGCAGGAAGACCCATGAACCAACCCCAGGCCCTACACCCCTACCCCGGCCGTGCTACCCAACCTCCCTGCCCCGGGTGGGTGACCCGAGTCACAAGGGGTCGGTATGCTCCCAACTCCCTGCCTCCTTGGCCGCTTCCTGAGCAAGGGAGTTCTGGAACCGTCGCAGCAAGGAAACTTTTGCCCGAGACTTGTCAAGGGCAAAAGGTGAAAGTCCCTGGGTCCTTTTGGACGAGGATATGAAACTTGAGGGTGTCGTGTTTGCTCTGCAGTTATCAGGGAACTATGTACCTGTTATAGTTAGTCTAAAAAAAATTAGCATCAGTGGTTTTTCGCGCCGGTGTCTCTGCTGGGCAGGATGTTTGCCTATAATCACTATGCAACACGTCGCCCCCCCTTCTCTCTTTCTTAACTGGAGGCAGGGGGGTGGGGTGGAGGGGTGCCACAACTTGCTTCTATTATATGAATGAAATTGTACATTGATATACAGACTCCTTGGCCTGAAAGCGATGTGGAGTCGTTAACAGGTAGTCAATGAATCAGTGTCAGCTTGCATCATAAACTCTGATATTTGACATTATTTTTAAAAAATCAAATATATACTTTGTTTTTAAGTGAAAATACACAAGATTGTATTTCTGGGATTTCAGAGAATTAGAGAAGATGGTTTTTATTTTGTCATTTGGGCGATAAGTAGCACTTACTATTTTTTTTTTTTTAGTGTTACTTATTTTCTGCTTTAGAAAAGAGGTTTGAGCAAAATTGAGAGAGCCTGGCACTTAAGGTACATCCAAATGCTGTTTATTTCATCTGGGTAGCAATTATCTAGGAGTTCGCAACAAATTTCAGGTCTTTTCAGTTATGTGTTTTTAAAAGGGTTTTTTTTTCGTTCGGGAAGTACTCAAGCAACTCCTTTGGGTCACTTTTTTCGCCCAGGACAGAGTAGAGGAAAACTGCCGGGGAGTGGTGGTGGGGGAGGGGCATATTGTGTCTGGGTTAACGACCGGAGAAGAGCCGCAGGCCCGGAGTTCACAGACCACAAGGAGCTGTAGTACCACTGCAGTTAAAGTGTACAAAACAGTTGTATTTTTCGTATTTTCATGTTCAGTACAAAAATAATTAAGGTCTTTTTGAAGGCTGCAGGCTGCCTTGCCAGTCCTTAATTAAAGGTACCTTTGTACTGTGATGCCGCTGAACTTCAGGGAATATGTCAGTGAACAGAGTCAACATGTTAACTGATTATGAGCCAGGTAAACACCTGGTTCTTAAATTTGTGCAAGGTCCTAAGTGTAACCTACTTTGGGCATTGACTGTGAGAGGAAGTAAGTCACTGACTGGACATCTACTTTTTGAGTTGGCATGATCAGAAAATTGACAGCCGAACGGTTTTTCAACTATCCAAACAAATGAGTTCTTGATAGTCACGTGACTGTTAAAATGGACCAAAGGTAACAGTTTAGTGATAGAGATAGTGGGTTTGACTAATTTTTCTGAGGTGAAATCTGTTTTTATATCTTTTGTTTGCATTTGGTCTTCCTTTTAGAGGAATCTAATGCCATCCTGTGACTTAACAAATTTGAAGCTTGGAATGGGACAAGTTTTTTGAGTTTTGAATGTGTTCCTAAATCAGTGTTGGATTAAGCAGAGTGATTATGTGTGGTACTTGGCTTTTCATAAATGTCTTTTTGAGGGGCTCAGAAAATCTTGGTTGCAGCCGTTTTCTTCTGAGCCTGGACATAAGGATATGCAGCATGATTCCTTTTTTCCTCACTAGTTTTGGTTCTCTTGTGACTACCTTCTGTCTCAGAAGTTATTTTATAAATTAGAACATGTTAAAATCCTTTAGAATGAGTTAATAGTATATGCTTTTCAAGGCTCTAATTTTATGATTGTGAGTAACTTGGGTTTTTTTAAACTCTTGAAAAGTTATAGATATCCTTTTTGATGTTGGTCTCCATTTTTGGAGGAGACGGGCCTGGAGTAGTTAAGAAGTTTATGAAAATAATTCTTGAATAGAATCTATGGAAATATCTAATAACTCCTGTCTTTTTTTTTTTTTTTTAAACAAAGGTATGAGGGTGCTGGTAGATGCTCGAGAGAAGCTTCATATTCCCTGGGGAGATAACTCAAACCAACTAAATGGAGACAAGATGATGTCATTTGACACCCGTTCCCCCTTGGCTGCTCAGGGAATGGTGGAAACTCAAGTTTTTTTGCAGTATCTTCCTGCTATAAGAGCATTGTGGGCAGACAGTGGCATACAGAATGCCTATGACCGACGTCGAGAATTTCAACTGGTAAGAGATTTGTTCTTTTAAAATGTTGTGATTTTATTTTAATGACATTATCTGAGTCTGATGCACCCTCTTCGCTGACTTCCACAGTATACTATATCTGTGCAGAATTTTAGCCTCAAAAATTGGGGGTGCTATATAAATGAGCTTTTTACTAAGCAAGATGAAAATAGGGTAAACCCCATAGGTTTGGTGAAGCTGTTATAGTTAATTGGTTACTTTTTCTTTTTGAAAGTACGATCATAATGATTTTCACAGGCACTTTTAATTTTGTTATTTTCAAAATAATTACCTCCCAATTATAACAGCAATATTCATCTTTAAAAAAATAATGACCTTTTACCCTTGGTCTAAGCGTTCAGTAACTGAAATAGGTTCAAATGTGCTTGCTATTTAGTATATAGAGGTACTCATTTTATGGTACAGATTAATAGAGAGTAAAGTTCTTAATAATGTTTAATAGTCTTTGCACTTCTTGTATTTTGCATTTTTTTAACATGCTTTTTTTTTTTGTTTTGTTTTTTGAGGCATCTAAGCACATTTTACAAAATACATCTCACCCCCGCCCCAAGCAAAAATTTTACTGGACAAACTAAACATATGTCCTAGTCTCTGGGCTATAACAACAAACTGTGATAGACTTACAGACAACAGAAATGCATTTCTCACAGTATTAGAGGTTGGGAAGGTCCTGGCATATTCAGTGACTAGTGAGGGCTCACTTCCTGGTTCATAAATGGCCATCTTCCATCTATGTCCTCACTTGGCTGAAATGTTTCTTCTTAAACAACAACAAAAAATCTTAGTTGTTTTTTGGACCTCTGTTTCACATGGGAAGCACCTAGATTTTATTTTATATTTATTTTTTCTCTGTCTTAAACAAGACTACCCCATAAAACTTTAGCTGTTACAAAGCATTGAAGAGAGGGTGGAAGAGAAAGAATCTGATCTAGGTTAAAGATACAACGATAATAATTAAAATAGATTTTTAAAAATCAAGTGTTTTGTAATTTAATCATGAATGCTTTGATTGTATTCTGGGTTTTATTTACCAAAGATGGGAAAGATCCCAGGAATGATAGCAATCTAGACCGCGTACAATTTGGGGGTAGTTCGGATTGGAAATGTTTTACTATACTATGATCAAAATGAAGCGATGATTACAAATAAAACTGCTTAGAAAGTTTTTTGATGGTGGCACCGAAATTAAAGTGATCCACATTGATAGATGTGGCTACAAAATGATGTACAGCCAGTAGTCTTTGCTATTACAGTTTGTACTCAGAAGAAATCTTAGCTACTAAAAGTTCTGGAAAAGTGTTCTTAATAACTTTGTATAAAACTGACACTTAAATCTTTGTTTCTCTGAATTATGGCTCTCATTTGCATCATACAACCAAGTACTTGATTATGTGCTGTCTTACATAGTTCTCTGAGATGTGTGCCTTGTCAAGTCATGTGTCCTTTAATGAAAGGCAGAGATTATCTCACATTATTGTGAAAGTTGAGTAGCTGGCAGCATTATATGTTGAAAATTATGAATTTAACAAGTGACCTCCATCCAATTCTCAGACTTGTGGTTACTTTTTGTTCTTTGGTCAGTATTTGTTCTGTGAGTTTTGGTAGTCTTGCATAAGTTCCTCTACACAACCCCTTCTCATCTCCCTTCACTCCTATTTTTAAGTGTTGCTTATAGTCCTTTCTTCTTAATTCATTTTCTTAATACACCACACTTTCCACTCTTAAGTTTTTTTGGGATGTTATTCATCTTTCCCAGTCAGAAAAGAAACATTGTCTGTAATAGCATACAGTACGTAGTGACTGCATGAATAAGTGACCGTACTCTAAAGTTCTCTGTAGGGAAGTTCCCTAAGTCCATTTAATTGAAGGTGGGCTTCACTGACACTTCTTGAGTTTGGACATTCACATCTTATGATCTCATGTCAAGACTGTCTTGTCACCATCGCTGAGAGAGCATGCCTAAGTATTTGACACTTAAGAACAAATGTGTAAGATCACTCAGGATGAGGACCTGCGTATTCTTGGCTTGAGCCAGCTGATGCTTCAGGAGCAAAGAAGACATTGGGCAGGGAGAGACAAGTTCTAGAAATGCTATTTTCCTGATAAAAAGGAGGGTCACAAGAAAAGAGGAACAGGGCAAGGTCTAATTTTAAAACTCCTGAAGAAGAGGGATGTTTTTCCCTGTATATTCTCAGCATTGTTAATGGTACCTGGCACCTGGCATTCAGCTATTAGGTTGAATTAACAATTCTCATACTTTTTGGATGCTCTGGTGCTTGGCATAGTGTCGGACACTGAGGAGGCACTTGATTCATTTAAAATTTTCCTGAAAGTCATACTCATTTCCTCCTCCTGCCTACATACAGCCGATCCTGGAGCCCTGTTCTACACCTGTGATGTCTCTTGCATTCATTCCCTTTTCCTCCTCCACATTATTGACCTTGTGGAGACCTCTTACTTGGGGGTATTATGGACCTTGGGGGACCTCTTACTTGGACCCCCAGTTAATCATGGTCAGATACAGCATGGGTTTGCTTAGAAAGCTTTGCTCATTCTCTACTTCCTTCAGAAGAGAGTTCAGCCTCTTTATGTGAGTCAGGGCTCTAGCTAACTTACCTGTGATTCCAGCAATATATTTTATTTGTCCATAGCACATATATTTTAACCGCTCAATTCCTGTATACTTGATGTTCTGTCTGTATGGCTCTCTTCACAAAGTCCCTCTGTCAAGGATTTTCATTACTGCGTCTTGTCTGTTCATTAGGTCCTACCCCTCACTTAGAACAGTGGTAATCCAGATTTTGATGTGACTAAACGCAGTCCATGGATCCCTTGAGTCAGAGTCACTGGCATGACTCTGTTTTATACAAAACAAAAAAACATTCTGAGACTTCATTACAGAAGGACCTGTTTCAGGAATATGGGGTGGAACTCAGTGATTTGTATTTTTAGCAGAAAGCCATAGGCAATTTGGATGAATTGCCTATGTGCTTTAGGGTCGAAGCTTTTCCCCAGTCCCGGTGGCTGGAATGCCGCCGCTCTGCCCTGTGCTCTTGGTGGTATGCTTGTGTTCTAACCTTCTAGTCACATGTGTTTGAGTTATTTGCATTCATGTTTGGTTCTCCCACTAAAGAAGAAGCTCCTTTGGTATGCTTTGTTTGTCTTTTTCTTTCTCACTAGCATTGGGCTTGACATTTATTTCATTTCCTTATTTTTTAGACACTCTGAATTACAACATTATTCCAGAAAAAAAGAGACACCCCACATTAAGTTCCTTCCAGGAAATATGAATATTTCTATATGCTAATTTTTTAATCCAAGAGATGGGAAGTCTTTGTATTAAAGAATAATAATTTCCCTTTTTTACAATATTTGATCATGTATATTCTTGAATGTTGGATAGAAAAAATAAACATCAAGAGAAATGGAAGGAGTTAGCAGGTAAAATTAACCATTTTTGTTTTGACTAACGATTATTAAATTTAATGCAAATTGAAAGTCAAAAGAAAAAAAAGGCTGTTTTTTAATCCTTTCTATGTCTTTTTTGGTTTAGATGAATAACTGCCCTGTAACGAGTCTCTGGGACAAGGGATAGGGTAGTGTGACCACAGCTTAGGCTTTTAGCGGCCCATTCACTAGTAGTAATTTTGGGTGCAAACATGAATGTTTTTCCCCCCAGGTTCTCAAAGGCAAACATTTCCTTTTCTGGTTAGTTTCATCATGGGTAAGCTAAGTATCTTACTGTGGAAAAAGAATCTAATCTGTTGTTACAGCTTTTAAGGTACTGTTTTATTTCTTAACTAGCACACTGAGGATAAAACATACGTCCGAAGAAGTGGTCTCTTTTATTTTTATTATTACTTTTTATTGAATGTATTGGGGTGGCACTGGTTAACGTAATTATACAGGTTTCAGGTACACTATTCTACAACATCATCTGTACACTGTACTGTGTGTTTACCACGCCGAGTCAAGTCTTTGTCCATCCCCATTTAAGAAGTGGTCTCTTTCAGCACTGGATTAAATGTCCGTCGTGCTCAGCTTTGGCTGTACATTCCCTGTAACCTGCCACTGCGCTAGGGAGACACCCGTTCTTCCAAAAAACCTCTTGTGTGGCGATAACTAGGGAATTTGGTAAATTGGGTGATTAAAGAGGTGGAGTCCAGGGTTGGCTGAGAAATGATACAACTGAAGATATGTAGTAAAACTACAAAATAACTAAGAATCGCTGCCAGTTAAATTTTATGGGCTAATAATATTATTCAGAAATATAAGCAAAGTTTGTAGAACTGGTTATATAGGACAGGAAAGTGTGTGCCATTGGGAGGAGTGCTCTAGAACTTCCTACTTTCTATAATCACTTTAACATTGTCAGCGTTAATACAATTTCCTGTAATGACCAGTCTTTTTTTGCAGTCCCTGAAGCCAAGCAATTTTCTTTGTTATTATGGTGCCTTTGGTTAGACTTAGTTTTTCTTACTCAAGTAGTACAGTTTGTACTTGACATAGTTACACTTTAAGCTGATGAGGTAGTTTGTTCATTAAGACAGAACTTATTCCCACAGTCTGTGTAACAAAGGAACTACTTAATTTCATGCATTGGCTGCTAAAAAAGCTGAGTGCTAAGAACTGCAGGTTGGGGTAAATACTTACTTGCACTGCAGCATGGATTTGAAATACTGTAGAGTTAGAAGCATTGGTTTATTCTTTACCACTAATTTGTATTTTCTTTAAAAAGTGAATCAAATACTACATTCAGTTGTAAACTTACGTTTCTGTTGGAGGAGGATTGGTTCGTGTTCTCTGTGAATAAAAGCCAAACAGGACTTTGACTTCAAGTTGCTAAATACCTATTGTCTACTGATTCTAGGGTTAGGGTAAAATATTTCAGCCTATATAAGATGAGAATTATATATAACATTAGAGGTGGTAGAGATTTTAAAATTTAGGTCTCTATTGATAGATTTTCCTGTTAGTGAATT